CTCTTAATTCTATTTGAGAGACCAATAGGAAAAAAATTAGGTATAACATGTTGAGTATTTTGATGAAGACATACTAGACAAGCTTTAGATTACTAAGAAGGGAACAGCCTACCCTCCATAGACATATTGGAGAAAGTTCAATAATTGATGACTCTAAAAATGTGAGGAATGAGTGGGCCATACATGAAGGGGAAATGATTTTAGAGGCTGAGATCTCTCTCTCTCTCTCTTTCTCTCTCTCTCTGTCTCTCTCCCAGTGGAATCTTGAGACACAAGGGCATATAAAGGAAACTGTAAGTATTTCAGTATAATTCCTGTGTGATGAAAACTTAGAGGGTTAGATTGTAGATGTACGTGAGACAGAGAATCAGATGCTCAGCTTAAGGAATTCTGACTTTACCTATAGATGAAGAGTTACTAAGCAGCATAATGTGAAAATATCAATTCACAATTTCTACTTGTTAAGAAGGTGATCTAGTTACTCTATTTTTCTTCTTTTCTTTTTTCCCTCTTTCTCATTTTTCCAATCTTTTCTTTTAACCTGTGATGTCTTCCCTTCCAAACACATGTCACTATCTCCTATTTACCAGTTATTTAAAGCAGTATCCTAGACTGAGTTAAGTAAAGTCAAAGATTTCCATATCAAATTTTATTTTTCACTATTAGTTTCCACATAGGTTCCAAGGATGAGTTTGAAAGAACAGATGATTGATGGGGTAGGAGTTATAGAGTAGATATTGAGTAATATGACCTTACTTTTCTATGTATGCAAAGGTCCATCAACTTTCTTTGCATACTTTGTCGCTATTAATACTGGGGATGAGCCTGTAAGTGAGAAAACACTCCAAGAAAGGATATATGGACAATGGAAAGGCATAGATGATGTATCAGGAAGAATGTCAGTGAGGACTCTGTTTTGGTCAAATGCATGGTGTATATTCTTTATTTATAAAGTTTAGAGATAAGGCCATTCAAAGATATATAGAGGTAGAAAATAAAACTCCTGGTTCTAGTCCCATTTCAAAATTTTATTAAACATTTGCCTAAGCAAAACAGCAAATATTGATGGCAATTTAGTTATTTGTAAAGGACTTCAAGCCACCAAATCAAGTGTTTCTAAAATTAAAATAAAAAGTTTAGCTAGTGAGATAATGGAGGAGGCTGTTTGATAATCAGAAATGATAAATAAGATAGCAACTTTTTAACAGGATTTTTTGCTCTGCATTCCGAGAATAATGTCAGAGAGATTTTTCATCCTAAAATGTTGAAGCAGAGTGTTAATATTACAGGCTAGATTAATATTAAGGTAACAAGTTTTGAAAATCCCTGAAATCAAATATCATCTACTTGAGAGTTTTGAAATGATTTAGAGAATAAAGTGATATCATTGGTCATTGATTTTTTCCAACAGGTTTTGAAGCACTTAGTATATGTTGGGCATCTTTGTATGTGTTCAAGATGCAGTTTCTGTTATGTGGTAAGTTACAGCTTGTAGAGTCAAAGACAATCTTATAATAGTAGTTTGTGGCAAGTAAGATTCTAGTGATCACTCAGGAAATCCAGAAAAAAAGGTGCAGCATGATTGGGAAACTGTAGGAAGGATTCTATGAGTAAAGTCATTTTAAATGACAAGTAAAAGGAGACCACAAAATTAGAAGCAGAAAACCAGTAAGTATAAAGCAGAGACTATTTCCAGATATAGAGAGCAGTATGAAAAATGACTTGGTTGTGTAAAAATTCTTACTGCTGAAGTACATATGAAGGAATATATAATGGCACTTATGAGTGAAAAGGTGAAACTGGGAAAAGTGTGAAAGACCTAGAATATTTTATAGATAATTGAGAGTCAGTTGGTTTTGTAATATGATAGGATTTATTCTATAGAAAGAATTCTGCTGCTATTATGGAGGGTTACTCAGAGTGGAAGAGAGAATCTGGGCAATTCACTTATAACACTGTACTCCAGGCAAGGTATAATTACTTGCAAAATATAAGAATGAATCCTAAAAGTGAACAGAAATAGATTGAATGTGGAGGATTAGAAAAATGGTGAGTTTAAACATGTCTTAGAAATTTACAGCTTAGATGGCTTAAGACTATTTTGAAACTATTTGTTGAGATACAGAATCTAGATAAAAGAACACATTTAGGTAAGAGGTAGAACAGAATAAGGATGTTTTGATTAAAATGTATATAATTCAGTACCAGCAATGATAAACATGTTGGAGGCCTTAAGGAAGGTATCTGAGCCCACTTGCTCAGAAATTTAGAGACAGTTCCTTGTAATGACAGCCTTTTGGGCCTCCAAGTCAGGTACATCAAGGATAGGACATAAAACAATGGGCAACAAGTGAATGCTGAAGCAAAACTAAATGATTCTAGCCATGTCTTTTCTGTAAGGAGAAATGAGCTCTATAATCCTGTAAGAGTTCCTAGAGTAATCAAAAAGCCAGTCCTAAAACAATAGCAATAGTTCAAAACCAATTTATTTGTAACAAATGAATGCAGAAAAATTGGTTATATAATTAGTTGTAAAAGGGAACTGTGCTCTTTAAGTAACACAAAGATCAATGGATGTTTCTCTAGATGGAGAAGGTATTAAAAACTGGTGTAGAAAGGTGAATTATCAGACATTGGTGCCATTGCTTGTTCATGCTATCCCTTATTGACATATGTATCAGTCACCAGGATAAAAATGTGACCGTTGAAAATAATAATTAATATAGACAAAGGATTTTATAACATTAGATTACAAGAATCCTCTCTAGTCTGCAGGGAATATATTCCAAGACTCCAGTGGATGTCTGAAACTGAATAGTACTGAACCCTAAATATACTATGAATTTTTTCTATAATACATGCCCATGATAAAGCTTAATTTATAAATTAGGAATAACAGGATATTAACAACAATAACTAATAATAAAATAGATCAACAATAACATTACATCAGCATCACTACTCTTGCACTTTGGAGCCATTATTAAGGAAAATAAAGGTTACTTGAGCACAAGCTTGGTGATACCATGACAGTTGATCTGATAACTGGATGGCTTCTGAGTGACTAATAAGTAATAGCATATACAGTCTGGATACACTGCACTAAGGGATGATTCTTGTCCTGCCAGGAAGGAGCAAGACAGTCTCCAAGTAGGGGACCTAACAGATAGGCTTTTTTGAGCAAATAACTGTACCCTTCACGTGTACATTTGTCACCAGATTCACTGCTAAAATCAACAGCAGAAAAATAGCAGTTTGAGTGCATATCAATTTAGAAGAACTTCTGGTTAAATTTACAATTCTTTTTTCTCTCCCATGCTTGTTGTTTCTCATTCAAACAAGACTGGCTTAGCTACTTTATAAGGGTAAGTCTTCCTGAATTTTAAGTTCCAAAGATCTCTGGACCTGATCATATTGACTTTATTCTGTGGGATCAACTCTTCATGGCCAATTCCTCCTCTATCACTGAGTTCTTACTGCTGGGCTTCTCCAGCTTTGGGGAATTGCAGCTTGTCCTCTTTGCGGTCTTTCTCTGCCTCTATTTGATTATCTTGAGTGGAAACATCATCATCATCTCGGTCATTCATCTGGATCACAGCCTCCACACACCCATGTACTTCTTTCTAGGTATTCTTTCTATCTCGGAAATCTTCTACACAATTGTTATTCTGCCCAAGATGCTTATCAACTTATTCTCTGTACTCAGGACACTCTCCTTTGTGAGTTGTGCCACCCAGATGTTCTTCTTCCTTGGTTTTGCTGTCACTAACTGTCTGCTTCTGGGAGTGATGGGTTATGATCGTTATGCTGCCATCTGCCAGCCTTTGCAATATGCTGTTCTCATGAGCTGGAGAGTATGTGGACAACTGGTAGCAACTTGTATTATTAGTGGTTTCCTAATATCTCTGATGGGAACAACTTTGGTCTTTAGCCTCCCTTTCTGTGGCTCCAACAAGGTCAACCACTACTTTTGTGATATTTCACCAGTTATCCGTCTTGCCTGTGCTGACAGCTACATCAATGAGCTGGTCATCTTCATCTTCGGGGTCTTGGTGCTTATTGTGCCCTTGATATTTATCTGCATTTCTTATGGCTTCATTGTCCATACCATTCTGAAGATCCCATCAGCTGAAGGCAAACAAAAAGCGTTCTCCACCTGTGCGTCCCATCTCATTGTAGTCATTGTCCATTATGGTTGTGCTTCCTTTGTCTACTTGCGACCCTCAGCCAAATATACTTCGGGCAAAGATAGGCTGGTGACAGTAACCTATACCATCATCACCCCACTGTTGAACCCCATGGTATACAGCCTCAGGAACAAAGATGTGCAGCTGGCTATTCGGAAACTGATTGGAAAGCCTGGATTTTCTCTTAAGACACTATAATCAGAATACTTTCCAACATTATGGACACCATTAGACCAATTGTGTCACGATTATTTAAATCATGAGATTATCTAGTCTATTTATCTAACTGTGAGGCCTTGAATTGTTTGACATTTGGGGCCTACATGTTCTATGTAAAGCAGAGATAGCAATATTTTCTTCCTGGAGTCATTGTAATTAAGAGAGATTACAAAATATCTGGCAATAGAGTATAACTCTCCTCCTCTTTCCGTTCTTCCTCTGGATTTAAAGTCCTCAAAAAGGTCTTAACAGCCATCATTTTTTGCCCTATATTTGTCTTGTTTGACCAAAATGTCTGATTGCACTCTGTTTAAGGTTATGTCCAGCTTAAAATGAGGAGTCCAGGCCTGAAGGTGGCTTAGATCTAGTGGTATGACATGGCAGGCAAAACTGTACCATATGGGTAATTAGATGATTTAAAACTGCACACTGGTTAGGTCATGACTGAAGCTTTGACTCTTCTCTGAGTCTAAATTCTAATATATGGAAAGTAGGGATAATGTAATTTTCCTGTTCTACGTCGTGGGGATTTTATTTGTATCTTATAAACAGTATAAAAGAAAGTGTAAAAGCAGTGCAAAATGTTAAACTACATACAATGTAGAACCCATATCAAGCAAGTTTTGCATAACTGAGAGGATTTTATTTCTTTCAAGTTCTTCAAAACAGGTATTTTGGAATGGCTTTTCTGACTGCTCCTTTGAACCACTTCTTACATAACATAGAAGTTATGCTACGTAACATAGAAGTTATGCTACATAATGGAATGGAAAATAATATTCAACCATTCTGTCCCATCTCGGGCTAAAGGTATCTACATGGCTTTTCACACTGAATTTATTAGGAAGAGGAAGCTACTCAATTTCAAATTTATCAAGTGAGTATATAAGATTTGAGAGAGAAGTACTTTGATGATCATCTGGTCCGATCTCTGACCTGTACAGAAATTTCTTCAACGGTATCTGTAAAGTAAACCCTTCTCCACTGATTGGGCATCAATGACCTTACAAAATGTATGTTCCCATTGCACTCAGCTCTTACTATTATTCCCTCTCATTTCAGCTGATGTTTGCCTCTGCTTTTCACACATTCTATCTCTTGTGTCATACGGTAAGTTGAGTCCTGATTCCCAGATGTTTGAGACAGTTATGATGACAATCTGAACGTTTTCCATAACTTATGTGGCCTGAATTTCAGATGCCTCACTATCCTGGGTGCAGTTCTCTAGCTATGCTGTAGATTATCAGTTTTCTTGTAAAAGAATAATGAATAAAACTGAAGTTCATATTTCATGTGCAGCCTCTTTTTTCTGGGGTATAATATAACTGTATTCTTTCCTGTTAATCTTATTTAGATTTTCAAATTAAAATGTGTCAAATCACAAATAATGTTTTCTTATATTTAAAAACTATAACCTCTGTTCCTATTTTTATCTCCCTTTTCCAGTTTTTGGCCTAAATATTTTTATTTATTTTCATTTTACTTCATTTCATTTTCATTGTTAGATAATTAAGGCATTTCAAGTACAACATTGGTTATTGCCATTGTTTTCTTCTGTTCTTTTTTTTTTTTTTTTCCAGTGGGTTTATATTTCTCACTTATTGACCAAATGTTATTTAGGAATAGAGTATTTATGTATTATAGTTATACTCGTGCTGATATTTAAATAACTTCTGTTATTTATTTCTAGTTTAGTTTTGTGTTGTGGGAGAATGTGATTGACAGTTCTATTTTTACAAATTATTATGTTTTATTAATGGTTTCTTATGAATTATGCTCAGTGAAGCACACTCATTTAAGATAAAATTTTGGTATGGGTAGATGTTATATTTATTTTATGAATTAAATTTAATTAAACTATTTTAATACACTATATTGTTATTGGTGTGTATATGACCTGTCATGGTTTCATAGTGCTGAATTAAAATGCTTCACTGCATTTTAGAGCTTATTAGAGTTTTATTACACTTCTAACAACATTGATGTTGAATTTTATTGTGAAATCTTTTATTACATACCAAATAAACCTCTTGGGATTTAACATGTATTTCTACCTATAAATGCACTAAAATAATAACAGGTGTATTAAAAAATACATATAAGCCATCATCAAGAAGGTAAACAGGAGAGAACAACACAGGGGAGACATCAAAACAATTATAGAAGCAAAAATAAAAAGGACAATTGACATGGTTGTATGAGGAAAAGAGAAAGTTGAAAACACACCTGCAAAACGGGGAAGCCAACCAGTTCACAACGCCTAACTGTATCTGGACATTCTTGTCACAACTGGGTCACCCAGATGATATTGGAAAGAGTAAGATTGGTTTAATATCTGAATAAGGAACTCAAATTCTCCATCAGTGCTTCTCAAATCATCTGCAGTAAAGAACCAGTTTCTTTTTACATTTCATAGAAGGCCAATACTTCAGTAAGATACGATAAAAATCAACTACTAGAAAAAAGAAATGAAAAGCATCTGAGCTATTCTATACTCTGTTCCAAAAAATGTGTCTGATTGTGTGCTTGTATGTCTCAGTAATATCAAATTTTATAATAGTTGGTTACCACTGGTAAGTAACAAAAATGTAATGTAGTTTCTATACCTGTCTCATTACAAGCCAATAACAACAAGCTCATAGATCAGCACTAGACCGCCGACTCCCACTGGAGTAACATCGCTTTGTATCTGTTGCATGCCAGGTTAACATTGGAGGTTAACTTTCATGGCAGTTAAACTAAGGAATTCTGATTTCAAACACTTGGTAGAACAGAGGCAAATGTAAGGGGCTGTACTTCGAGCAGAGGATTAAATGTGAGTGGTTTCATACTATGAGGCACCACCAGCCTCTTTCCCAACACTCAAACCCCAGATTGACAGCCAGTCTTACACCTTTCACTTAGGTAGTAGGAGTGTTTCTTTCTGGAGAAGGTAATGAGAAGTTAGGAGTAATTTCAACAAAATGAACAGCATTGCTTTGCCTGACTTCTGCATAGGAGCCCACCAGTTCACAAGGTCTACCCATGTGTAGAGAGCTTCAAACAGGCTTTTCAGTGCTGTGGTCTGGAATATATTTGAACATCCAAGAGTTATCAGACATTTGAAGAAGGCTTTAACATGAAACACAGATACCTAAAGATAAGAGAG